TTCCAGTTCCCTAAAGGTGGTTACAATCCCTCTAATTTTTGGATTGTTGTTAAAACACGGATCGTATTTTACATGGACCGAAACTATTAACACCTATTCCATTGGTTTCTCTTGGAACCAGATTATTTGATAAGCTCAAAGAAAAAGAAGACAATGTTTTATTTGTATACGAAACTTGCAGGTAAGAAAAATTGCTTCCAAATTAGCTGAAAGTCTTCGATGTTGTGGTTTTAAACAAAACGACATTTTTGCTATATCGGGGGAAAATAGTATTTTTTATTACGTTCCTGTAGTTGCAGGGTTATTTCGTGGAATGATTTCTGGATTTATTAATCAAACTTACTTTTATTAAACATAATAATTATGAATTTTTAAATCTATGTGATATCTACCAACCAAAAAAAAGTTTAATTAAAAGTGGATGAGATCTAGAAAAAGACATGGTTGGAGGCGACGGAGACAGTGAAGAAAAAGCTATGGAAGGTAATAAATGACGTATAGATGGGGGAGAGGTTTCCAGACAGGTAGAGGATGAGGATAATATGCCCACTGTATAAAAAAGGAGTAAAAGGGTGGTGAGCAATTATAGAGCGATCACCCTGTTGGACACAACTTTCAAACTTTATGCAAAGATACTGCTGGGGAGGTTGGAAGAGGAAATGGAAAGGGGGAATTGTTGCCGGATGGGCAGGCGGGATTCAGGAAGGGAAGAGGGGCAATTGATAATATACAGGGTGTAACTGAATGACTGCAACAACCTTCATATTTATGAGATTGCAAAGCCTACTAAGATTTTTTCAATAAATATCATTCCAACTTTCGATTAGCAACCCTACAGCTTAACAGTTAGTGTTTGCTTAATTTTTTTTGTCAGAAATTATTAAATTTTAGAAGAACATCAGAGAGACAAAAAAGTTTTAGAAGAGTTTTATCTATCTAACTGAAATTTTTCCAATGTATTAGATCTTCATGATGTATTATCAACTCCATAAAAAAAATCTAGGCATAAATTGAACGGCGGTGGTTACGTTTAGTAGTTTAGAAGGGTAGAAGGGTATCATGAGTTAAACATATTCCCCAAATTTCATTTTCCTAGCGTTTATGGTTTTTGAGAAAAACAAATTAAACCAAAATTTTCCGCCATTTTTGGCGGGCTGTAGCTCCTTAGGGGAGCCGAAATCGCACATGGTTCACATATCAACGTACCCTTAAAATTCACTAAAGATTCACCCCTTGAAGTTTGTTGCAGTCATTCAGATACACCCTGTATACATTCTGAAACACCTAGTAGATAGGGAGTTGAACAAGAAGGGAGGAAAGCTGTTGGGACTATTTATTGACTTCAAGGCTGCTTTCGATAACATGGATAGAGAGAAGTTGTGGGAGAAAACGAGGAGAAGAGGTATCACAGAACAACTGATAGGAAGGGTGAAGGAGATATACAGGGAGACGATGGCCAAGGTTAAAGTGGAGGAAGAGTTAAGTGAGGTATTCTGGACGACAAAGGCGTTGAGACAGGGGTGCCCGCTTAGTCTTACACTACTTGAAATATATACGGCGGACTTATTGAATTATTAACTAATTTAATAAGTTAAAGTTTAAGTTATTATTATAATTAAATAATTATTATGATTAAAGTTTCCTGTTGTAGATTTACGTTAAACATGCTAGAGTTAAAATTTAACTCTTAACAGTGTTGAAAGTTACTCTAAATCCAGAAAAGCCCTAACAAGTTCACAGCCTTTCTTCCTTGAACACGTGTTGATGTGAAAACAAGGCGTGTTGTTCAGTTTGTTCTCAACTAAATGCATTCAAACTGTAATTTCCTATTAAACAAGACTTAAATATTATATTCATTTTGTGGATTCTTGTTATCAATATGTATAAATATGAAAAAGTCATGTATGTTTTTATGCTTTTATTGATAAATAATTTGAAACTGCCTGACGCGTTTCGGCGATCTACGCCATCTTCGGAGGCTCTACAAAATTAAAACATAAAGGTACAGAAATCATTTTGTGCTGTTACAATTGTAAATATTACTAATGTGAGTAGAATTTTTGAAATTAACATTAAGATTAATAAACTGAATATAAATTAAATGAAACAAAGTGTAACAAACTTAAATATTATTATAAAACATGTGTCTAACTTACTTCGTCCTTTTTGGTTATGTCAACATAAAATATAAGTCACTCTATCCATGTGCGGTACAATCAATAGGACTGTAGTAATCGTTTTAAATATCAACAAATGATGGTTTGGATTAATAATTTTATCTAATATTATAGATTTAAATCTTCTGATGTGTAAGGAGCCGTTCAATTTAGCACAAACGCAATTAGAGGCTGATTTTTCTTTGGTATTAAAATATGGATTTATTTTTTAGTTTATGTTTTCGTGTTAGTAGTTTAAGTGTTTTGCATTAAAAATGACACCTGCATATGATTTTGTTTTATAATTTCAGTATGCCTACTTAAATATAACGACTTAGTACATCTTAAGATAGCATAAATGCAATTATTTATTCGATTGTTCAGTTTTTACAATAATAAACCTATTTTGTGAACACTTATTAATTGTGTTAATTGAACACTTATTTTAAGTCTATCTTTATTAAAAGAACCGATTTGTTTATTCTGTCTTTATATTTTGTAATTCATATTCAGTTTTTTTTGTATTGTGTTCCTTCTCTAGACGAGTTTCCTTTTTGTGTACAAGGTCAAGAATTTTCGGGTTTGTTAAAAAAGAAAAAGATGAACATTTTGTATTGTAAAACCAAGTCGTGTTAAAAGTTCATTCGTAATCTTCTTCTGTAGCATTATTTCTTAAGTGTTATTAATTAACTCCAAATAGTAAAATAAAGTTCAGTTTAATTCAAGTAAGTGTTTATCATTCAGTTCGAAAAGTTCTTCATTCTCAAGTAAGTTTATTTCGGTACAAAACACTATTTTTGGTCCTTCGAGCCGGATTTTCCGCGTTGTTTAATAGTTTTAATCGAGAATTTGACAATAAAAGTGAACATTTCTGTGATTTTCGTATTCGACGGACACGTTGAGTCTATTTTCTTATTGCATTTTGACGGGATTTTGTAACGTTTCAAGATGTCGAAATCAGGTAAACCGGATTTTAATACTGTTTTCGAAAGATAAAATGATTTGCAAGGGTTAATTTCGTGAACAATTGACAATTTCAAAAAACTTGCTATTACGAAACGAACGCGCGGAGCGATTAAGACACGTTTAGAAAGACTCGAAGTTAATTGGAACGAGTTCAATGACAATCATCGTCAATTGTCACCGTATAAAATAGATTTTGCTGAAACAATTTACTTTAAGGAAGATACATTTTCTTTATGCGAAGATACATATCTTGACACTAAAACTTTTATGATTGATTTATTGGAATCTAGCGATGCACCGACCTCATCCGCGAAAGACGTAATTCAGGAAGTAACGCCATCACGAATACGCCATCTTCCGCAGATTAATCTTCCTACATTTGATGGCAATTATACAAATTGGACGCAATTTCGCGACCTTTTCTCTTCGATGGTTAATGATAATAACGATCATTCGGATGTTGAAAAACTCCAGTACTTAAAAATGTGTTTGATTGGTGAGCCAGCTCAACTTTTAAAAAATCTATTAATTAAGAGTGATAACCGAGATCGCGCATGGAAAATGTTGGTCGAGCGATACGAGAATCGACGATTGCTTGTCGACTCGCAGTTGTCAGTTATATTTTCAGCGAAAGACATAAAAAATGAATCTTCTTACGAGCTGAAACGCCTTTTGGGAGAAGTGAAGGAGGCTCTGGGAGCTCTCGAATCTTTAAAATGTCCTATCCAACATTGGGATCTTATCTTAGTCTACCTTCTTGTTAGAAAATTAGATCCAGAGACTATTAAAGAGTGGGAAAAGACGATTGGAAGTCTTACTGATCCCCCTACGTACAAAAAATTTGAAGATTATCTGCATAGTCGCTTAAGATCTTTGGAAGCTATTGAAAAATTATCATACAACCGGAAACCATCTCAAACATATTCAACACAAAAGGCGATGATTATTAAATCACATAACACCTCACCATCTAATTTAATATGCAATCTTTGTTAATTAAATCACTATCTTGCCATGTGCCCACAATATCTTTCTAAAACTCCTAATCAAAGATCCGAACTAGTAATATCAAAACATCTTTGTTTTAATTGTCTCGGCCCTCATTTACGAAAAAATTGTCGTATTACTAAGAGATGTAAATTATGTCACAAAAATCATCACACTACCTTGCACGATGCTAAGCCATTAAATTCAAATATCGCTCAATCTCAACATTCTAACTCAAGCACATAACTCATACAAAATTCCAATGAAATCATTCAAAAGTCACCTTCAACATCCAGTCATCTCATAAACACACATCATATCAACACTCCGGTATTGTTGGCCACTGCTTTAGTCGGGATTATTTCCAGTCGAGGCGAAATTATAATTGTCAAAGCATTGATAGATCAAGGATCCGAAGTTTTATTTATATCAGAAAAGTTAGTTCAAAGATTAAATTTACCTCGAAAATCTGTAACAGTACCTATTTCTGGAGTCGGATCACAACGTACGAGCATATCTCACGGGTCAGTTATAATGAATTTAGTCTCTAGAATGAATGATCAAATTAAGTTCGAAGAAGAAGCATTGATCTTGCCTAAACTTACTTCATATGTACCTCAAAAAAGTTTTGTCAATCTCGGATTTAACTTCAACTCAATCACTTTGGCCGATCCTGAATTCAATTCACCAACTTGAATTGAAATTATATTGGGAGTCAGTATTTATTCAAAATTCCTTGAAAGCGGTATTTTGAAAAACGACGATGGTTCATTAGTAGCTCAGCAAACAACCTTTGGTTGGATTATATCAGGAACACTTTCAAATCAACCCAATGTCAGTAATTTTCCGTATGGTTTCCAGTATTCTATTGATCATGAATTTCTCGAATTGATGAAAAGTTTTTGGAAACAAGAAACCGATACAATTAATTCTCCATGTATTTCTGCTGAAGATCGAGCATGTGAAGATCATTTCAATGAATCTCATATCCGTCTGTTAAATGGTCAATTCATGGTTCGTCTTCCTTTTAAGAAATCTCCTAAAGAATTAGGAAGCTCATATCAACCAGCTCTAAATATGTTTAATCACTTAGAAATGCGCTTCGCAAAAAATCTCAATTTCAAAACCGAATATATAAAATTCATGTCTGAATATCTCAAACTCGATCACATGATTCTCATTCCATTACCGTCCATTTACTCTACTTATTATCTTCCCCATCATGGAGTGATTCGTGAAAGCAGTACAACGACTAAATTAAGAGTTGTTTTTAATGGATCACAAAAAACTTCCAATAACATCTCATTGAATGATTGCCTTTACACTGGTCCAAAGCTTCAAACAGAACTGTTGGATATTATTCTTCGTTGGAGATGTTATGCAATGGTATTTTCTTGCGATCTAGAGAAGATGTACCGCCAGATAAGGGTACATCCTGATGATTGTAGTTGTCAAAGAATACTTTGGAGAGAAGATCCATCAAATCCAATTCAAATATACCAATTATCAACGGTAACGTACGGTTTAGCATGAGGTCCTTACTTGGCAATACGGTGTCTAAACAAGCTAACTGAAGAACACAGTGAAACGCAGCCATTAGGTTCTACTGTTATTCGTAAAAATACATATGTTGTTGACATTTTGTCTGGCGCAGACAATCTTGACGAAATTCAAGAAAATCATAATGCAGGACCTTTGGACACGTCAAATCGACTGGGATGATGCTTTACCCAGCGATCTCGAAAATCGGTGGACTTTATTCGTCGCGAATTTTGATCAAGTCAATACTATAAAAATACCTCGGTGGCTCGGACTTTCACGTGCAACTAACCTCATTGAATTGCACGGGTTCGCGGACGTTTCATCAAGTGCGTACGGTGCGGTAGTGTATGTGCGGGTGTTAACTAGTAAAAAGATCCGTGTATCTTTGTTAATATCTAAATCAAAAGTCACCACTATTGTCACCACTCAAGCGTATGACAATACCGCGACTCGAGCTGAGCGCCGCAGTGTTACTTACTCGGTTAATAAATCGGATTCGGAGTGTCTTAGACTTTTCAAAACATACTGTTCATTTATGGACCGATTCCACTGTGGTCTTAGCTTGGATTCGAAATCAACCTTCAAAGTGGAAAGAATTCGTTCAAAACCGCGTGATTGAAATACAAGAACTTTCTGGTGCTCACTGGCATTATGTACCAAGTGCTGAAAATCCTGCTGATTTGGTTTCTCGAGGTGCATCTTTGTCCAGGATGCAAAGCGATTCGTTATGATGGTCAGGACCGGTTTGGCTTAGTTCTCTATCATCCATGTGGCCTTCTGTTGATCCACTTCTGGAAGAAGGAGTCAATCGGGAGATGAGATCTCTCAATTCCAACATCGTTTCCAAGGAAGAGGATGGTTGGGATTTAAAATACAAATATTCATTCTTAACTAAATTGATCCGTATCTTGGCTTGGTGTAGACGAATCTTTCAATTTCATAAAAGTTTGTGTGTTCCAGATGTTTTGTCACCTGTTGAATTAAATGAAGCTCTGTTGTTTTGGGTACGTGATTCTCAGCTACTTCACTTTTGAGAAGAAATCTGATCCCATTTTTGGATGGTGATGGGTTACTACGTTTGACTGGACGTCTACGCTTTTCCAATCTTGATTGGGATGAGAAGCTAGAGGGTGCTTCTCATTCCAAAGAATACCAGATTAGCATCTTTAATTATTGAACGTTATCATCAAATTACATTGCATGGGGGCACGCAGTGAGATTGCAGTTGAGATTCTGGATTATTGGAGGTAGAGTTTCGATACGATCATTCATACATCGATGCATGCAGTGCGAAAAACAACGAGTTATTACAAGTCAACAATTAATGGGTCAGCTTCCACCACCCCGAGTTACACCTTCACGACCATTTCTTCATTCTGGAGTGGATTATGCTGGTCCTTTTCAACTTCGTACGATCCGCGGAAGAGGGGGGAGATTCTACAAGGGGTACTTAATTCTTTTTGTTTGTTTAAGCACATCTGCCATTCATTTGGAAGTTGCTACCGATTACTCTACCAGTGGTTTTATCGCAGCCTATAAACGGTTCACTGGTAGAAGAGGATTATGCAAATGTATTTACAGTGACTGTGGTACTAACCTGGTGGGAGCAGATCGGGAGCTTCGTAATTTATTTTCTGCTGCAAACAAGGAATGGAGGGCACTCGCTCAACTTCTTGCTGGCGATGGGACAGAATGGAAATTCAATCCTCCGTCAGCACCCCATTTTAGAGGAAGAATCATTTGAAGAAAATAGTTGGTAGTACAACCCTTACTTGCGAGGAATTTATGACATTGTTAGTACAAATCGAAGCTGTGCTCAATTCACGACCGCTGTATTCACTCTCTGATGATCCAAACAATTTCGACGTGCTAACTCCCGCTCATTTTCTCGTTGGAGGTGCTTTATCAGTCATCCCTGAACCATCACTATTAGAGCTTACGACGTCTCGCTTGTCATGTTGGCAGCACCTCAGAAAAATGACCGAACAATTTTGGAAGAGTTGGAGTCAATATTATTTAAAGACAATTCAAAATCCAACTAAGTGGTATGAAGCCAAAAATCTACCTCGGATAGGTCAATTAGTGCTTGTTCGCGACGAGAGGTATCCACCAGCAAAATGGCCTCTTGCTCGTGTAGAAAAACTACACACAGGACCTGACGGTTTAGCAAGAGTAGCCACTATTAAAACAGCGTATTCAATACTAACCCGTCCCATTGTTAAGTTATGTATCCTACCGGACGCTCAAGAACCATCAGCTTATTCTTGAGTTATGTATATTTTTCAAGAAGTTGAAATTTTATTTTCTATTTTTTTTTTAAATTTCGATACTTTAAAAACACAATTAAGAAAAGTTATTTATAATTTAATTTTAAACAAATATTGTGTACAAAAAATTCTAATTCAATTAAGTGGCTTAAATTCGATGTACGAATAGGCTAGTTCGAAAACTATAAGAGTTAGAAAAAAAGTAGCTTACATGTCATGATCTCGTTTTTCGACAAACTGCTAATGCCAAAAACCTCAAAGCGCTTCGTCTTTTCTTCTCACTGCGTTCGCTGCTAATGACAGATGAGCTGTTAAAATTGTGGCGTGTCCGACAGTCAGACGGATCAGCCACAAACGAAACTGCTTCTCTTCCGAATAAAACATAGTATTTTTTCTTCAAACGTTTCAAATAATACGGCGCTAAAGTGAAATGTTCTTCAGCGTTATAAATTTTACTTTAGCGCCATAACGCTGAAGTACTTTTTTGCTATGTTGATTTTAGCAACCGTCGTTATGCAAAAATGACTTACTTCTACCGTGTGTAAACACGCCAACAAAGTTGTCATTTAATTACGTTTGAAGAAAAGTCTTTTTTGAAACGGATGCTGTAATGAGATTCCTTACAGCATCCGTTGCTGTGAAAAGATTTTAGTAACATTTCATGGAACCAGTTCAAGTTGGTGACATTGGGTCATTAATTTTTCTAGTTGTAAATTAGACAATTTTTGTCTGTGGATGTTTAAATACGGTCTTAGCATCGAATACAAGGTCCACAATGACGAGGGCTTGAACTCTTAGCAATTTCTCTTATTTTGGGAGGTGTACATGAAACATTTTTTCAGGTGAATTAATGACATTTTGTGTTTTGACAATTTCTAATTGTTAATTCAAATTTCTATTCTCAAGTGTTACCAACTGCTATATACCTATTTCCAGCATAAAAAACACGTTTCATAAGACTTAAAGCACTCATTCATTAAAAAACTGATGGTTTCCCCACTCGTTTTTCAACTTGAATTCGTGCATTTCAAGCGTGTCTTGCGAAACTTGTTTTTTAATATACTATTACGTCCAGGACGCAAAAGACTTTTACGTCCAGCTACGACAATCAAAGAAATTGTTAATTTATTATTATAAACAAATTACAAACATAAAATAATCAACATTTAATTGTTTTACCATTTTATTTCATGTTTAAAAATAAATTTATAATCGTATATTTGTTCAATATATGAGGTGAAGTCGATGTGACGTTTAGTTGATTGACATAACATTAACACGTTGACTGCCATAAGAAGCGTAACTTGATGCACGGCAAAATTTCCACAACAGCCACGAGAAGCACTAGTTGATTCTGATGCCTATTTATCTTTAAAATTGTTCCTGCCAGAATGGATAGACTTTTAGTGACTATTGCGGCAGTCAACGTGTTAAATGAATTCTAAATGTCATTATACTGAATTTGGTCGTTTTATTAATTTATAAACTTTAGAATACGCAGTTTACAAAAAATGTTGTAGAATAAAAGTTTCGTGTAGAATAATCGTTCGAGCGCAATAGATGCTAGATGATAAACGATAGGCGATAGTATTGTAATAGACGAAGATAGCGTGTCATTTCGCTATCTTGTATCAAAAATAACTATTTTGGTATAACTAAAATTTCATTTACGTTTCGATAAATATTCCGATTAAATTAATTGCGCTTGGTGGTTTTAATGATTATATCAGAAACACATTTTGTGTTGATGATGATATTTTGCTTTAATTTATAAGTTTCTGTAAACAAATTATTTGATTAAAATTGTTCGTTATGGTGTATTGAAAGAAAAGAAAATAAATAAATCAGCAAGGACTTATATCGACTTTATATTTATTTCTACCCCTCTTTAAATTAGCAAGTCTTTCATTATGAAGGGTTTAACCACTTGTAATAATTGATTACAAAGAATATCAATAACAGGAAATTAATAATTAATTTTATCAATTATTTGTTGTTATCGAGAAGTTGCCTAAAAGAAGGTTATCCGACAAGCTTCAAAGAACAAAAAGTAGAAGAGAGACAAATAATCGTCTCTCTTCTTGCTAGTAAAGTAGCATTTATTAACAAGGTCAATATTCTGACCTAGTGGTGCTCAATATTCTTTATGTAAACCTAATTACATACAAACACAAAGGTAGTAACAGGTATTGCAGTGCCTCGGCCGCAAGCAACCTTGGTTCTTTTTTCTGCTGATAAACCGAAGTAACACATATTAAATGCCGAGATCTTCAAAGCCGTGACTCTAAATATGAAGCATAAGACAATGGCCAACTGAATGGTGCGGGTCACGGTTATACCAATACACTAAAAAGTCTCAACAACAGACCGCAATAATTACAGAACAGTTGGTTTAACACCTTATGCAACCAAGATATTATTGCATATAATCAATGAAAGGTGTAAATTAAATAAAACTCGATTTTGCATTTTTTGATGGATTGATTTATTTCTATTTGTTGGCTCTACCGATTTCGATTTGTTATTAAAATCATCTTCAGGATTCTGAGCCACGTTAAAATGAATTTAAAGTTTTGAATCCATAATAAAACATTCCTTTTTTTTAACCTTCCTTTTTATACAATATCCGTTATGTTTTGACAAGATGACGTTTTTAAAAATTATTATTATCGTTTTGTCTTTCCATTCTTATATGTACATAATATATACAGTGCTAGCGTAAAG